TTACACCTACACTATTTTTCAATATGTACATGAGCTGGGAACATTATTAAAGGCAACATTCATTATGTAGAGCAGACAAGAGTGTTCTTCTTAAAGACATTTTATACTTCCATCCTAAACGTCCAGAGAAAGAATTCTGCTTCCAGTGAGCTTCATCCCACTTAGCGCCTTCCAAGTTAGCTTCACTCCTGTTAGCTTTATTCTGATGGACTTCGATTCAGTCCACGCAAACCCTGCCGACACGTGCAGGTGCTGGGGAAATTGGCCGGAGAGTTTAGCACCACGGCATGTCGTCAATAGCATGCAACTCCAGGGAGACAAGGAGGGAGTGAAACAGGGAGACAGATGCAAATGACTGGCAGAGCAGTGTCCGTGTTTGTCAGACCCGATTAAACGATATCGATCATGCAGGATAAGGAGGTGCTGACTAACTGCAGTGGAGGTGTCTCCCAGGAAAACGATGCACAGACAAAGATGGAGGGAATGTCGTCAGAAATGACCAGGAATGACAGCACGGTGAAGGTCGCACGGACCAGCAGCGCCAGTAATACTGTATGGGTCATGCTTCTATCCCAGAACTGCAAAAAATGCATGAGAAAATATATACTTTCTCGAGAATATTCTCACAGAGCTGTGACTTTCTGATGTGAATTTGGAATGAGGATTGCTATATCTGTCACAGATACCAAGTGGAGTCTCATGGTGGGAGATGTTGGTGTATAGGGGAGGCTGATGGTTTACAGAAAGCCACATAATGGAAAAACACAGCAGGCTGATCAATAGGATCGACTGGGAGCATCTCAGAGATTCCCACTTTATCTGTGTACCTATTTATTTTTAATACACCACAGTATACTTTTAACTCCTGCTTAACACTTTTTTCCCCACTATTGTGGCAAATCTTGAGTATAAGCATCAGTAAAGAGCAGGATGTACATCTTCCACCAATGTCTGTCACGATTAACTTTAGCGGCAACTATGGAAATATTCCATATGTCTTTTGAGAGGGAAAGGATAATTTTTTGAGGATGACGTGACAAAAGGCTTTTGCAGGCACAGTTCTGGATGACCCTATGGAGAAGCAGAAAAATGACAAGCAGAGGAAGGATTCAACTACTTGGGAAAAAAATGATCTGGAGACGCTGGAAGGTCTGTATTTAATCCCAGAAGTATCTTACCTCAAGGAACTTGAAAACATTGACCCACTTAAAGGCCTTTTTTTATTTGTTGAGCTACTTTAAGGTGGGGTTTTATGGTTTATAAAGTGAAAGATTCACACAGATACAGTTGGTTGTAGACATTCTTCAGCACAATATTTTGAAGTGACAGTGAGATATGCTAAACACTGAGTGAAAATTATACATCAATTTGGATCTAAAAGCAAATACAGTGGTACCTCAGTTCTCAAACTCATTAGAACTCGAATTTCTTTTAAGTCGAACCAACCAGTTCGAAAAAAAATTACCTAGAACTCGATCTGAATCTCAGAAGCGGGGATGGAACGGAGGCAAAGACGCAGATGTCAGGGTATCGGGGAATAGGGGGTTTAATTACAGGTAAGGCAGGCAAAACGCAGACGGACAATACAATGACCGGACTGGGGAAACAAACTGAAATACGGACTAAATACAGAGGACTAATGACAACAACCAGAAACAGCTGATCACATGGGGATTCCACACGGGGTTAACTAGGGGGCGTGGCACACGTAAGGAGCGAACGATCAGGGCAGGACACATTGTTTTTTTATTAACTTTACAAATTGTTTGGATACATTTATTTTCTTACTTTAAAAATTACTGTTTTGATAAATGTGCTTAGATGTGTTTAGTACAGTATATGCTCTTCTTGTTTTGTCCGGTTCATTTTGTGTTTAAATGCTTAAAAAATACATATTTCGGTGTAATATTTTGTGGCCAGGAACCAATTAATTGGTTTTCCATTATTTCTTATGGGGAAAATTCGATCAGAACTTGAACTTTTTAGGATTCGGTCTGGAGTTCTGAACGGATTAATTTTGAGTTTTGAGTTCTGAGGTACCACTGTACTGGCTTTCCTTGTCACATATGAGCACCCCAAATTGGAATGCAAAGTGTGGTGCTTTATTAAACATTGTTCTCGTTACATTTTAGGGAGGTGGACAAAGGTGACCCTGTCTCTGAGGGCAACCACCTCCTGCCCAGTGCCTTAATTGTTTCCTCGCCTGTTGTGCCAGATGCAAGGGGCCAGAGAAACAAGGGCAGGGAAAACCAGGGTTACAGCAGGGAACGCCGGGGTTATGGCAGAGAATGCTGGGATTTTGGAAGGAATCTCTGGGATTTCAGTAGGGAACTCTGGGATTACGGCAGGGAACGCTGGGATTATGGCAGAGATTGCTGGGATTATGGCAGGAATCTCTGGGATTTCAGTAGGGAACTCTGAGATTACGGCAGGGAACGCCGGGGTTATGGTAGAGAATGCTGGATTTATGGCAGGGATCACCAGGATTACGGTAGGGAACACCGGCATTATGGTAGGGAACTCTGAGGTGACGTACAGGATACGACAGCACCCAAATGAGCAGAGGTAAGAGCACCGTGGCATGAATAATTCATCTGCACTCTCTCCGAAGGTCTTACTCTCAAAACAAAAGACAGTACGCTGCTCCCTATTTAAATATCACCTCACTAAAGGATGTCACGTGGCCCATATGATTCTAAGGTCCTCATGTTTCATTCATTAGATTTTTTTGCCTATATATTTCCATATAGAGGCAGAGTTCAGGCGAATTTCTGGAGCTGGGACAATGCTCTGCACGGGTGTGGGTCATGCAAACTCTTCAAATTTAGTCATAATCAAAGTAATAATGAATTATGATGAGCTGAGTTGTTTGCCATGAACTCGGTTGGGCGGCGAAATAAAACAAGAGAAGATGAGGCCATTTAATAAAGCAAGAAATTCAGGAGACTCGGAGGTCAGGCCTGACATTGAAGGGAGCAGGTACGTGGTGACTTTACCGAGACGATATGGGTCATGGCGATGTGACCCTGGGGTGGGGCAGAGCTGGACAGGTGCGGGTCGGACAGTAACGGGAAGTCAAGGTCATGGATGTCTCAGAGAACTCAGGCAGGGTGGATGCTGGGGGAGGTGTTCCTGGACGGCTTCTCGGGGTGACGGCTTCCCAGCCAAGGGCCCGCTCAGACACTGGGGGCCCAGTGAGGGCCACGTCACCCACAGCGATGCCTGTCTGCTCTCCCCTCAGACTGAATGCAAGGACAGCGACTGGCTTGCATTATTCCAAGCACCCTCTGCCCTCACCGGACTCTGCTAGGAATCCCAAATCCCCGTAACAAAAACTTCGCTGGGTTCACCTACGGAACGTGACAGACTGATAATGATACCTTATGTATTTTTAACGCTGAGAGTGGAATTAAAAAAAAAAGGCTGTTCAACTCATTAAAAAAATCACTGAAAACACATCATAAGTAATAAAATCCATTATCCATCTTTTGATCCATATATCCAGATGAGGGTCACTGCGAATACCACGCTATTATAAATCCTAAAATGAGTCATTTAAATTTTGCAAAGTAATTACCTAGAAAGCTGCTTTTTTCCACCACAAGCAGAGTAACAGTGGGTGGGGTTTAAGGTTTAAAGTCATGTGACTGAATGGACCGCATGCCCCCATCTCAAAGGAGCCACTGCCTTCGCTATCTCGAAAGGAGCTTCTAATCCGGCATTAAACATCCATCTGTGTAAGGTTATGTTGCCATAAACGTCACGCACGACTGCAGCTTGGCAAATCCGACACGCTGTTTTTTTTCTTTTTTCCATGAGCAGAAGTTTGTGCATTTTGTTGTGCACAAAGGGGAGTTTGGGAGGGTGAAGTCGATGGTCACGTGTCTGCTCTCCCGCGTAGCAGATCACAAGAGAGGTGGATTAGAATGGATGAGCAGCACCAGTGGAGGTTCTAGACCATTTCAACTTGGGGGGGGGACTGGGGCCAGTTGTTCTGATAAGGGGGCAAGATGCATTTGACCCTAATGTCCTCCATGTATTACTTACACTAAATTGGCAGCATTAAGAAGCAAAAGACAATTCTGAAAACCGATAAGTTATTTATGCAAAGCTATACAGCTACATTTACAGTTTTCGCAAATATGTAACTCAATCTGGTTTCTTGTTTCGACTGTCTTGCTTCCACAAGCCTGATTATTTTTTTCTCTGGTTAACTTTGCTTTTCACCAACTGCAGTGACTTGAGCACCCGTTTTAAGTGTCTGTCAAGATAATGTGCTTACGTTTGAGTTTCACCTGTTTAGAGCGCACAAAAATTTACCCCACATATATAAATGTAAATAATAACAATAGTAATAATATTAATACATATATTTTAGACCCAAGTAGCATACACATTGGGAGAGCCATGCATGTTGTCATGGGGGCACTCCCTCCCCCCCGGCCCCCTCCAGAACCACCCCTGACCAGTGCGAATGAGAGGGCGTGCTGTTTACAGCCGTCAATCAAGAGACCTTACACCATGATCTGTATCTTGGTAATCGTGATCAGGGCGGCCTCACATGTCAGTGAACAAACAGGAAGTGCACTCAGGTGAGACGTGACCTCAGATAGCGTCATATGTGCGAAGACTGTACAGGCAGTTCTTGACCGACGTAACACAAACCATTATGTCAAATGTACCTTCCCATGTCATTCTAGACACTTTGTAGGAAAAAAAGCGCACAATCCAAAAATATACTAGCAATACGCACTAAAGGACATGAAATAATTATAAAATCATAAGGTATAAATTTAAAAAAATTGCACTAGGGCTTCTGTAAACTCCGATACCGCAGATATTTTTTTGCCTTTGATTTGCTTAAGGATTTACGTGTCAAGAGCTGCCTGTATATGGATATGCGTGCAGTCACATTTATATACTGTAGCACGTCATCCACACGAGTCCTGCACACAAGATCAAATAAGACCCATTCATTATTCAACAAATGAGACATTATGTGTGATTTGCACAGATTTTTACCTCTCAGTCTTGCTTATGAACATGAATCAGCATGCAGGGGCTTGAATAATTTCCTTTTTATGCAAAATTCCAGGTGCTCATCTATGGGAGTCGCAGATTGAACATGATTTAATTAGCATATCCCTTAATTATTTGAAAGACAACATAAAATAATACACTTTCTAAAATTAGCTTCTTATGGTGCACGACTGCATCGTTCATCAGCCAGGTTCTGGAGTGGAGCGGGGTCCGTTTTCACGCGAGCGTTCCTGCTACAAGTGCGATAATTACTCCGAGGGGCCAGATCCCGGTGGAATGGCACAGAGCTCCTGGAGGGAACAGAAAAAGGAGAGAACGATGTCTGGAGAATGATTATTCGGTATTAATGACCATAAAGCTGGGAGTCTCGTTTCACGACCTTTAGCAGACACGCCGTCCGTGCAGAGATATCGGGTAACACGAGAGCAGGGACTGCCGCGGACGCTGATTACTCGCCCTGCTCCATCCCATTAGCTGGCTCCTTATGCCATTACCTGTTTAACTGCACAAAACATCCCATGATGTCACCTCCCTACCTTCCTCACGGAGGGCCGGAGATCGCTTACATGCAATGTTTCTCTAAGAGGAGGCCGCTTCCTGACCCGCGTTCGAGGATTCCAGGAGCCGGGTTCGGGCCGGGCCGGGCTGAAAGGGAAATGTAGCGGCTCGTTTAACCCCTGATGCCCCGCTAGCTGGCGCTCGTTTGGAGCTGCCGACCGCCATTTACTAGAGCTCTGAGAAACTTCCGGAACTGGTTTTTATTTTACGCCGCATGCATCCTGAGTCTGACAGTAGGGCTCAGGGCAGACTTCAGATTATAGAAGTTTACTTAGAAGAACAAAATATCTAGTCTTTGGTCAGCCTCTCTCACTCTCTCTCTCTCGGTCTCTCTGTCTCTCTCTCTGCCTCTCTCACTCTCTCTCTCTCTCTCTCTGCCTCTCTGTCTCTCTCTCTGCCTCTCTCACTCTCTCTCTCTGCCTCTCTGTCTATCTCTCTGTCTCTCTCTGCCTCTCTGTCTATCTCTCTGTCTCTCTCTCTGCCTCTCTCACTCTCTGCCTCTCTGTCTATCTCTCTGACTCTCTCTCTCTCTGTCTCTCTCTGCCTCTCTGTCTATCTCTCTGTCTCTCTCTGCCTCTCTGTCTATCTCTCTGTCTATCTCTCTCTGTCTCTCTCTCTGTCTCTCTCTCTCTCTGTCTATCTCTCTGTCTCTCTCTGCCTCTCTGTCTCTCTCTCTGCTTCTCTCTCTGCCTCTCTGTCTATCTCTCTGTCTCTCTCTGCCTCTCTGTCTATCTCTCTGTCTCTCTCTGCCTCTGACTCTCTCTCTGTCTCTCTCTGCCTCTGACTCTCTCTGTCTGAAAGAGGGAGCTCTTTCTTTCACTAATGCTATAAACAAAGGTTGTCCATGTCTGTTTGTATCTGTCCATCAGCTCTTCTCACTCCTGCCTATTGTCCTCTCATCTTTTTCCATTTCAAGACATAATGGCATCCCCAATAGGACACCCCCCCCCTGGCCCCCCACCGAAGCGAATTCCATTCATAGTTTACAAGTAGAACATCACCGAAGGTGAACAGATGCCCCGAATTTTTGGCCCTGAGTGAAGAAACATGCATGTTTAATTTTTTATTTTATAGTAATATTAATGCATGTTAAGGGATCTGACACAGTTAACTCAAACACAAGCGGCAGACAGAGTCGATTCTGAAAATAGTACCGTGTTTTTATTTAATATAAGTCAAATTTTAACAAGGAGAGAGTGAGTCATCCTGCTGCATCATGAATCCATCAGCAGGTGACTCATTCTGGTGGTCTGGGTATCACATATCGGAGGGGATGTTGGTGTAAATCACTTCTGACATCATCACAGTATATATTATATATCAGGACCTTCAGCAGATTCTGCCTTTTTGATGTTTTTTTTTTTCACTTTCCAAACTTTTCCGACCTGTGTGCTTTTAATCTTTCTTTTGTTCAGGTTATCCCCGCTCTCGCGCCGTGATTGATGTGTCTGAAGTGCATAGTGCAAAAGAAGGGGGGAATCGATAAATAAGTGGCTATCAAAAAAACAAAGAGAGACAGCTTCACGCCCCCATTGACAGAGCACATATTGGCACCCCCTTTCTGCGCTGCTCAGTATAATAGAGTGACGACCCGCGCACACAGATCCAGGGTGTTTTGCCCCTGCTATGCATAGAGAGAATGTAAAAAGCAGGCTGCGTGACGCGGCCCAGACGGCTCACCGAGTGGCTCATATCCTTCATCCCTCACCGCTTTGGTTCTGTCTGGCAGCCGTGTGGCCCGATGACAGATAGAACCGGGGAGCTCTGGGGCAGGGACTGCGGCTGCTGGGCCGATCCGCTTTGTTTCTCTGGGTCGCTCTCATTCAGCGGAGTTTTTGTAGGCCACCCCCTGATAATTGCTCACACAGATGTGAAAAGTGACAGCAAGCTTGCGTTTGAGGTACTGCGCCTGTCGGGGGGCAGGGTCACGCAGTGAAGTCGTCTTCCTCCATCCTGCTGTCTGACCCTTCCAGCCAGTAGTCAGGGAGCCCCTCCCCCCCCCACACATACTTTGGTCTGACAACATTATGAGGGAACGATGTCATCACACTGAGAATAGACCTTATATTGCGCTCCAGCTGCTCCTGCTTATCACGGTGTGGTGAGGGAGCAGGAACACAGACCCGTCTGCCTCCCCTGGGAGCCGCAGCCGAGGGGTCTGATTGGACTCTCAGAGACCTAGAGCAAAGTTCTGATAAAAGACACCCATGTCATGGTTAGTCTGCCGGACAAACTGACCGTCAGGCACATTATTCTGGCCTCTTACAGGCTGGCAGTCAGTCAGTGCCTCCCAAAATGCCCCTCTTTCATATGCCCACCACTCCTTTACTCACATCGGTGGGGGGCTTCAATTCTGAAGTGCTGAATATTGTATTGGGCCGCTGGGGTTCCTGAGCTAAGGTCCCGCCGGTCCACTCAGAGGTCGGGGGGTCGGATGGGAGAGAAGGGGCAAATCCAAAGGTGCAAAGTAGAGGTGTACAGCGACATCATTATCCGTATCTGTATCGGTATCAGTATCAGTATCTGTATCGGTATCGGTATCAGTATCTGTATCAGTATCAGTATCGGTATCGGTATTGTTATCATTATCCGTATCTTTTATAGGTCAAAATATTTGTCTTGCATTGGAATTAGAAATGATTGACAAAAATATATATAGAAAAATGTGCTTCAGTTGAAGGGAATAATCTTAAATTCCAATGATGCAGCATTCATGTTTGTTGATGTTAACTTTACTTCAGTTCGCTGGGGAAACATGAATCACTGCTGTAAGACAGTAATTTCATAACAGCAATACAAGGTAAAATGTCGTTTTTTTCTGTATTTCAAATGTTTTTTTATGGGAAGGAGTTAACACATACAGCTAAAAAATGACATGAGTGATGAGTAGGTTAAGGTGTTTGAAAGAAATCTGTGCATTACCCTGACACCTCCCTCCCCCCATGGGAGTTTCCCAGAGTGACAGCTGGGAAAGGTCAGCTCTCAGCCCGCTGCCTGTTGTGTGCCAGTTTGGTGGGATGATTACAGAGTATAGCGACCCCCTTTAAATAATACTGTATGTAGTAAATGAAATGACTAGTTAATGAAATCAAAGTCCTGAGTCTCAAACAGAATAGGCATTTATATCAAGGTTTCCAGCTCAAACGCTCACGTAAAATATTACGGCAAATCTATACTCAGTGTTGGGGATTTCAGGTCCAGAGAGTACAAATCCAGACCAAGATTTTGTTTCAACCAGCCAGTTGACTATAAAGAGTCACAGGCACAGAGTACCCAACTGGTTGGTTAAAACAAAATCTTTGTCTGGATTAGTACTTTCTGGACCTGAAATCTCCACCTCAGTCTATACTATTCTATTATAAACCTAAAAATCACTACATCAAATGTGTTGGGGTAGTTTGCAAACCCTACAGCCTATTTACAAGGTAATATAACTCTTACATACATGTAAATGCATGTGCAGACTGAACTGGAATTTAAATCTCTTGTCAGCCAGCTGACCAAAGTCTACTCTGTATATCTTGTGGCCATCTATAACGATATGAAAAAAATGGAAGGAACGAAAACACACCAGTCAGGGCACTGACTTGACTCTGACTTTTTTTAAATAATAATGCAAAACTTCAGGTAGAAAAAACATCTTTTTAGAGCACATTATCCGTGAATAATGTATTCATATTCGGGTCGGTTACATTCCTAGTGAACAGCACAAGAAGCCCCTCCCCCCCAGCACAAAGCTGACCATTAGATTGAAAAATAGTTGTGTGGGTTTGTCTTCCTTGGGTGCCCTCATTATATAACGGAAATTGGGGGGGGGAGTTACTGTACAGTAACACATTTACCAATGACTGCTGTGACTGCGTTACTCTGCTGACTATATATATGCACTGTCCCAATACATTGTCATTCTGTGTCAGCACAAGGGGAGGGGACCATCGGGGACATTTGTTGAATATTTGGCAGGGGGGGGGGGGGGGGGGGGGGGTTGCCTCAGACTGTAATCTCTCCTCCTTTTTCATTCTGTGTCTGTCTCTCTCTGTTTTTATCTCTCTCACTCTCATCCAGTCAAAGACGGCCAGCCGGAATGACTGATGTGTCACAGGCCGGGATAATCAGTCATTTATAATCAGTCACACAGATGGCAAAATGCACAACTGCAGTCACATGGGGAGGTTTGTGGTTCTCGGGGTGGGAGGGGGGTTAATTTGAGCAACGCGGATATGTCTGTGGAACATGTGGACACTTCGACGAATAATTTGGACATGATGTTTACGCTCGTCTCTAAGGCCGGGAAGCTGAGGAGCTGGGGGGGGGTGTGGAGGGGTGGAATGCAAGGCCCAGAATCTTAAGGTGGGATTGGGGTTTTAGGGTTTTAGGTCAAGGGGTGGGGCTCTCCACGCCATCTTAGGAGGGTTTTATTGGCACGCCCAGGTTGGCAAGACAGACACGTGTGTCCAGCACCGGGAGGGCATTCTTTGCGAAGTTTGATCTTCTCCACATTCATGATTCTCCTTGCTTGAAGGAGAGCTTCTCTTATCAGAGGGACAGTAATGGTTTTTACCTTTCTTTTGTGGCTGTTTCGTGGAAGTTACGACAGCTCTCAGGGATGAGTTTGGCCTTCACACTGTGATCTCCAAAGAAGGCATTATTCCATAGATTTTTATTTTTTACCTTCTTGTATATGTGTGACTTTGGTGATTGGCAGCATTTTCAAAAATTTCCTGTGTCACCTGGGAGAGACAGGAAACACTCACCACTGTGGCACGTTGCCTGTTTTATATTTGGTTTCTTTTTTCCACGCATGAACTTCATTTGCTGTGATTTCCCGCGGTTATTGAAGCTGGCCGGCTCCCGCTAACATCCCGTAACCGCTCTCCGTGGGTTTCCGCGGTCTGCATGCGGATGGAACTCAACACTGACGGCAATAAAGTCGTTTATATCACCCTCGTCTCAAAGCTGTGAATAAAAAACGAACGCAATATACTGTATGCTGATGCGCAGTGGAGGGCCGCTGTGTGCCCGCCCTGGCCTCAACTTCATTACTTACATCCTTGACTTTGAAAAAAAAGCCTGTTCTTGGGAACAAATTGCTTTGTTTCTTTGATTTTATTAACATGATCGGCCGGAGTGAATGGCGCGGCATGTCTGCGGTTGGTCGACACATACGAGTCCGTCGGGGATTAAATGCAGTGGAATTGGGACGTTTCTGAAGAACGAGAGCCTGAAAGGCACAGGCTTGCTTTTTTCGCCATTAGCAGAGCATTTCTGGCAGGAGATGAGATTAAGCCTCGTCCAGGAGTGTTTGTAATAATTACTGAGCCATTCCTTCTGTCTGGAGCAGTCCCGGCACTGCCGGATCGGCGTGTTCTGCACGACAACGCCGTGTTCCCGGGAACGTGCGCCGCTTTCCATCTGGCCGCCGCATTCACCTCCTCCGCGGAATGCTAAAGAAGCCGGCGGCTCGCCGCGCTGACATTGAGGCGGGGCTTATGCAGCGCCCCCCCAGGGGGGCTCCGACGTGCCCAAGAGCCACGAGGCAAAAATGTGAGCGTGCAGCAGGCCCCCCGGCCCCCCCAGGCTCTCACCGTACAGAGGACCTCATACTCAAGGTTGAACCGAACTGATGAGAACTGGACCAAAGTCTAACTCAGCGCGGGGGGGTGGACCTTTTCATTCCAAACCCCAGAGCTTCACATAATTAGCTAGATAATAATTGCTAGAAAACAGCATAAAGCCATGGGGGAGAACATTGGCCCCCTAGATATCCTTAGCTCTGGTTGCTAATTAGCTAATGTCTCTTTTTGGGGAGATCAGAACATAATTTTTGCTAAAGCACCTATTTTTTTGTACCAGAGACTGCGCGTTATGCAGGCATGAATAACACCCCTTTGTCAGGGTGTTGGAAGTAGCTCTGTCATCACACGACATCACCTGGGACATGAATGGCACTGCGATACCACACTAGACTGTGATTGGCTGACGTCAGAGGGGATGCTGTAGAGTCAGAATGAAGGCCAGTCACGTTACAGCACTCTCGCTCTGTCAGACCTCTCCCGTTAATTCACATCTCCTGTCCGTCTTCCTGTCTCCACTGACTGACTCGCACGGCTGGTCTTCAAACCCTGGGCCACCATAATTACTGCCCTGTCCGATCGCTTTGCTCCCCGGTCCAAAATGTAATGATATAATATTTGCCTGATATATTGTCTTCTCATCCTGACGTTTGGATGGAAAGTATGTCAGAAAGGAGTTTACGCAGGATTTTCAATCTGTATGCAGAGTCCGGCTGGCAGCCGTGCAGACACGGTGGAGACTGTCCGCTCTGTCCTGCGATGCGGGAGCGACCACGGCTATTTGGCCCGACACGGTGGTGTTTGTGGGCTGCTAACTGGCCTACAGCATCCATCAAACTAAGTCAGATGTTGTCATAGCAACTGACAGCGTAAAGCACAGAATAATAACTGCAGAAAGGGGACATGTAAGAGATCCCCAATGGCCCCCGGGGGGAGGAGGGGGGCAGTATAGCCTGGTGCTCACCGGTTTTAGGTAAATACTCTTTAGTTGACAAAGTGTTTATTTAACTGAAGAAGATGTAATTACAAGATGTCCTGTAATTTTAAACTTCTTAGATGTATTTTTTCCAGTTTCTGATAATAACCCTAATTTCCTTCTGGACCGTAAAACTGTTTTGAACAGTTTAGGTTGGCGGCACATTTTCCTGTAGCTGCCTGTAAAATAATAATTATTGTTTTTCTGACCTCTGGTTTTCATCTGGTATTTATTTTCCATTATATTTTTTTTTGGAAGAAACCTGAACCATTTCCTCTTCTGTTCAATCATAGTTGGATGTTTTATGAATGATGCTTTTTTGAGTTTTCCTGATTGGGTCCGTCCACATTTAAATCGATCGAACCTTTTTGAAAAACATCACAAAATGTCACCTTCCTAAAATTTTATTATATGTCCTAATAGTGCTGC